TTTTTTATTATCTTACAGTTCTGTAGGTCAGCATCCTTGTGGAGTCAGCTAGGTTCAATGCTCAGGGTCTGACAATACTGAAGTTGATGTTCTGTCTGTCTAGGATGGGCTCCTATATGAAGGCTCTTGAAAAAAATTCTATTCCTGGGATCGGCAGTTGGTGTAATGGCTATGTCACTGGACTCCCATGTAGTCGACCACTATTCGAATTCCAGGCCTGGTGGCTTAAATTCACACCAGGCGAGTGTGCATGCGTACCCAAGATCCCAAGAGGAGAATGGAAGAGAAGGAATTGTAGTGTGGCCATCCTCCCTGGGGGGTGATTTCTCACTTTCTATCTCTCTGTCTTTCTGGCAAGTGCACGCATGCTATAGCAAAATAAATGAATGAATAAATAAATAAATAAATAAAAATAAATAAAAAAATTTTATTCCCAAGGTTCTTTATATTTTTGACAGAATATAGTTCCATGTGTCCATAAATCCAAGGTCCCCTCGCTGTTTGTCAGGTGAGACCTACTCTCTGCTCCTCAGGGATCACTAAGTTTCCCTTCTGCTACCAAATCAATGGGTTTCTTAGATGCAGATTATTTTCTATTTCCCCCCATCTGCATAGTTTGCAATGATTCTGTGGAAAATCACATATAAATGCTATTTTGCTCTATTTTATTATTTCATTTTACTTTTAATTTGCTATAGAGCACATGCACTCACCTGAGTGAGAAAGAGAGATAGAAAGTGAGAAAAGACCTTCCTGGGGGAATGACCATGCTACAATCCCTTCTTTTCCATTCCCCAGTTGGGATTTTGGGTATGCATACACACATGTCAAACATGTTTTTCAAGCAGCTGAGTCTGGGACATGAACCACGAGGTCAGTAGGATCCAGTCACCTTAACTGCCATGCCACTGGTTGACTTCAATGCTATTTTAAGTAGCAGTCCATTTCAAAATATTTTACTGTCTCTAAATGTTAATATAAAATGGGATGTGATTATGAGAATTTATCAAGGTGTCAAGTACTGTACAGAATGCATAAATGCCCCTCTTCTCTAGAGACAGAGCTGAATCATAGAATCTTAGTGATCTTTCATTTACCTATTCATCTAACAGATTCCCATTGTGTACCACGTGGTTTCATGTCTTCAGTGCCCATGGAGTACAAGTCTGACAGAAGAGACCCTGATCCCTTCATGCCCATAGTCTAGCAGTAATATTAGAGCCCAGATTCACTTTCTTACAAAAATCTCTTCTCCCAAACTTTGAGAGATGGGCTTCTGGCTTCTTCTCACATAGTTCTAGCAATGAATACACCTTGAAACATATTCTGTTTTAAACCAGCCTTATCTATTATAAAATTCTTCCTGTTCCTGGTTTGGAAATTGAGGATCTGAACATTTTTGTGACTCATTTAAGAGCATCCAACAAGGTCTTCCAGGCCAGAGCCAGTCCTGGAACTCCATCCCCAATGCTTAAGCAAGTGCATTTTCCTTCCTATGAAACTACAGAGAATACATTTTTTCCTGTTTTATTTGACTGCAATTCAGATATTTGAAATGCCTCCCCATTATTCCCCTTTCCAATACAAATATCTTCTCATGTGATTAGGTTTCCAGACCCTTTCCTACTTACCCCAACCTGGCATGCTTCCTGTGGTCAATGCCCAGAAAGGAATCCAATACTCCAGATGTGGTCTGGCTGTGCAAAAAAAACCTGAGCCAATACCTCCCTCTTCTGTACACAAGTATTTGTTAATGCCACCTCTGCATCATATCTTTTTGGCCACAGAGTGGTCTCATATTGACTATAAATATATGTTCTCCAAACACCATCTCTCGTACACCTCAAGTGCCATGTAACTTAAGAGCAAGCCTCTTGTCTCTATCACATTTGATCCCATAGAGTGTGGCTTATATTTCCTTAGCCTCAACTCTAGTAAGGCCATATTTAAATTACTTAAATTATATTTAAATACTATGTTTAAAACTATGTTTACATTACTTACAGGATAAAGTTAAAACAGTAGAGTCTACCATTAGACATCTCATTCAGTGTTGTAAGTTCCTCATATGCTAGCACACAGTTCTAGTCCATTATTTCACAAAAGACTAGATTTGAAGGAACCATTGTGAAATGAATTTTTAAAGTAGTCTGTTATTTCAGAAAATTGAAGAAAACAGACAAAAGTTTTAAGTCTATGGTAAAAAATATAATAGATAAGAAACAAGAAGTAATCACTGGATTATAAAGCAAAAAATGGGACAAAACAATATATATGTGTGGGGGGGTATACCTATATATGCTTTTAGTTATATATTATATCTATTTATATGTATTATACTTTACAGGTTTGTATACATTATATGTTATTTTTATACATTATTATACATACTATATATAAAAATAAATATATACGTGTGCACATAGAGAGCATGCATGCAATATTATCATTGGTAAGTCTTTCTCAATGCACACATATTGGCTTTTGGGGAGTGGTTTGTGTAGGCCATACATTTGATGGAATGCAGGAATAGAAAATCCAAAATAGGCTTAAAACCAAGTTGTACAAACAGTGTCTTAATCTTGGCAAGTAGATGATAGATTTACCACAGAAAGATCTTAGCTTTGAGGAAATTATTAAGGAGAATAATTAATAACTCTATGTTGATGAGCAGCTGATAAATTACTGGAATAGGGCCAGCCAGTGATGAGGTGGTTAAGGTAACTGGATCCCACGTGGCCTACTGCATAGTGAGAGTCTTGGACGTGGTAGCTTGAAAAACACAGTGGGCATGTGTGTTCATGCCCAAAGACTAAAAAGAAGAAATAGAGGAAAAGGCATTGTAGAGTGGCCATCTCCCATAGGGGTTAGGGCACACACACACACACATATATATATATGTTACTGTAACAGTCTTGTGGCATTGCTGTACAGAATTTAAAATAAAAAGAATAGATACAGTAACAGTGCATTTTTTTAAAATTTGCTGTAGAGTGAGTGTGCTCACTAGAGAGAGAAAGAGATAGAAAGAAAGTAAGAGCACCTCACAGGGTGATGGCCATGCCACAGCCCCTTCTCATCCATTCTCTTCTTGGGATTCTGGACACATATGCACATGTGTACAGTGTTTCTCAAGCAGCCAGATCCAGGATTCGAACCTTGCAGTTGGTCATGTGGGATCCAGTTGCCTCAAACATCATCCCACTAACTGACCTAGTAACAGTAATTTTTTATTAAAGGTTTTTGCCAAAGGGTACTCGTACTTGCCAGAATGAGACAGAAACAGTAAGAAGGAAAGTGAGAAATCAACCCCCCACCCCAAGGGGAGTAGCCACCCCATAATCCTTTCTCCTCCATTTTCCTCTCAGGATTTTAGGCACACACGTACATGCACCAGTGTGATTTTCAAGCTGCCAGGACTCGAACCATACCATGGTTGACCATGAGGGAGTCCAGGACTTTAACCATTATGCCGCCTGCTGGCCTCAATAACAGTAATTTTAATAATGATGTTACTGAATATGTACTTAAGTGTACATGTGCTTTTTCATCTAATTTTCATGTTGTTATCTCAAGTAGAAATTAGAACCATGCTGTTAATATTGATTGCTCCATATTTGGTAGAAAATAGAATACTACTTAATAAATGCTTTACAACTGCTTCTCAGGATTCTGTGTTTGAGGAAAGAAGTCTATCTTACCTGTAAAGAACAGTTGCTATTCCTTTAGGTAGGAGTTATCCTATGAGTAAATATAGAAATTGTCCAGTGCATACAAGTTTGCTTATGACCTCAACAGTTTTTCTCACATATTCACTTCGCACTTGTTTACCTTAAGGAAAAGCCCCTCTGTCTCAGCTCCAGGCAGTGTGAGATGCTAGAGTGCCCACTGAAGCTGCCTTCTGTAAGCCTAGCTCAAACTCAAGCTCCACAGTTATCAGGCAAGGGTCCTTTGACAAATCACTTAAAATTTCTGAGACTCAAGCTTCCCATTTATGAAACAAACAAACAAAAAAATATGCTTTACATGCTAAAAGAAATACAATTATCCACATTATCCATGAGGGATTGCTTCTAGGGCCCCTGTGGATATCAAAGTCCACAGATGCTTAATTTCCTTCTATAAAACAGTATAGTATTTGCATCTAACCTATGTGTATTTTCCTGTATTCTTTAAATAAAGCTCTAGATTATGTATAATACCTACTATCTTGCAAACACAATATAAATATTAGGTTGTCAGGAAAGTTATATTTTCCTGTTTTTCTATACAAAAATATATCATGACTTCCCAGACAACCCAATAATTGTTATGCTGTATTTTTTTGTATTATTTTTATTGTTATATTATTGTTATTAAATGTCTTTTTCTTAAAATAGTTTTGGTTTGGTTGCTTGAATCCAGGGTTGCAGAGCCCGTGAATACAGAGGGCTGACCATAACCCTCATAAACTCAGAGCCCAGGCTGTCCAGTTTCTGAGCAGTTACGTAGTTGAAGAAACACAACTTAACAGCAAAAAGCGATAGAAAATAAACCCCTCAGATACTCTAACATTTCAAAAACAATGAAAAGATTCAACTGCATAATACATCAGACCATTTATTTAAATTGCCTTTCTTCCTTTATCAACAGCTCCTGTCTCTGGCTTCCCTTAAGTATCTCACACAATTGTTGCTTAAATATCTTTTCCCCATATCCAACCTACAATTGCTTTCCCCCTCACTGTTCCTTCTTCTTTGACCCTTTTTATTCCAGTTCTTTTTATACCTTTATTATGTAGCTGCATTCTACCGCTCTCCCAATGAAAAATGATCCTACTTATTTAGGGTGTGGTATGCTTAGATATCTGTGTTTGGGATAACACTAGACATGCCAAATTAGGAATTATGGAATTCTCTTTAGTGGGTGGGAGAAGAAATGCTGTGAATACTCTCATATTCATTTTTTTTTCATGACATATATAAAACCGTCTTTCAGTGTCACACAATGTTTCTTGGCAGGTGAACCAAGCCTTTGCTACATGTATGAGGGAGACGGAATCTGTGAGCCTTTTGAGAAGGAAACCAGCATTGTGGACTGTGGCCTCCATACTCCCGAAGGATATGTGGATCAGTGGGCTATCCAAGCTTACTCGCCTCATGAAGACAAGAAGTGTCCTGTTTCCTTGGTAACTGGAGAACCACATTCCATGGTAAATTAAGTCAGATGAAATAAGTCAAAGCTGAGCAAAATTGTGAAGTGGCTTCTCCAGATGCTTAATGGGAGTGTACATTTTACTCGACTTTGATATCAAATTTTGTGTTTACGGATTTTAAAACAAGATACTATTAAGTGAAAGCCTTCTAAATTAGCAATGAAATCCCACCCCCCATAGTCCCTCTACTTTGGATATTGTCTAGAAATGTTTGACTATACAAAGGTGGCTCTAAGGTACATATGAGCATTTCAAAATGAATTTATAAGCACACATATTGGGGGTCATACTGACGCTCTGTGTTTGGGAGAACTTATTTTATAAAAAGGAAATGAGAAGCCAGCAGGTGACCATAGTGGCTAATGCACTGGACTACCAGGCATTGGTTGAATGCAGTTCGAGTCCTAGACCTGGCGACTTAAAACTCACACTGGGTGCATGTGTGTGCATGCCCAAAATCCTGAAAGGAGAATAGAGGAGAAGGGATTGCGGCATGGCCATTCCTCCTGGGGGGATGATTTCTCGCTTTCTATCTCTCTATCTCTAGGGCAAGCACTTGTGCCCTATAGCAAAAATCTCTCAAAACAAACAAACAAAAAAAGAAAATGAAGTAAGAAAGAGTCAGAAGGCCTGGGTTCTACTACCATCAGGGTTACTATTATTATGACATGATTTTGGAAAACTCAGTCTCTGGGGGACCCAGTTTTCTTGTATGGAAAAGGGATATAGTAATACTTTCTGCATATAACTAAATTATTTATTGCAGCAATAAAATGAGATTTAAAATATGTATTAAAGGTATTTGATGCCAAGGATTGTTCTTATTGAAGGAAGTCTAGCATTAGTATTAAAAGCAAACCCTGGGAACCAGCAGTTAGCGTAATGGCTATGTCGCTGGACTCCCACATAGTCGACCGTGGTTCGTGTCCCAGACCCGGTGGCTTAAAACTCACGCCGGGCGCGTGTGCGTGCGTGCCCACGATCCCGAGAGGAGAATGGAGGAGAAGGGATTGCGGCGTGACCATCCCCCCTGGGGGGTAATTTCTTGCTTTCTGTCTCTATGTCTCTCTCTATCTGTCTGGAGAGCGCACGCGCCCTACAGTGAAAATCTCTCCAAAAAAAAAAAAAGCAAACCCTTATATATTCAATTTTCCCCAAATACCCACCTAAATAGCTAATAGGTCCTCTGAGGACTTTATCATGCTATGCTAGTAACATCCATGAATTATAAATTAATACTGAAAAGAAGATTAAGAGCTCTTTGCTCTTGTATACCATTCCAGATGCCTCTATTTCCAAATAAACTCTTGCATTCACCATGACAATAGGCAATGCAACCCTTTCACAGAAGTGAGATTTAGCTCTTTAGGTATTTTAGGCCTGGATGAAATATTTAGATTTTACACCTCAAGAAATATCTCTGAGGAGATTGAGGAATGTGTCAAGGTTGGTGCTCCCAAAAAACAGGAATCTTCTAGATTCTATCTCCTCCATCTTTGTTCACATGTTTATAGCATGCCTCTTATTTCCTGAGGCGAAGTTAGCATTTTACATAGCAAGATGGGGAAGGGTCACAGGGAAATAGGGAGATACCAGCTCAGTCTTCCCTTTTTATTGGGGAAATGGCAGTTTTTCTGGATGTTCAGCAATGGACGCTTCTAAACACATCCCATTAGTTAGATCCAGGCTACTTCATTGCTTTTAGTAGTAAGGAACCCCAAGGAGATGACCATTTATATAGTGCGTATGCTGCCATCTTGAACAAACTTGGAATTTGTTAATAAGAAAATTAGGGAAATAGATATGACTAGGCAACTAGCTGTTTCTTCCACACCCTGTCAGCCTAATTCTGGTGTCTTTTTTCTTAGAAATCTGGCACCCAATATCAGTAAGCCAGGAGAGTTGAGAGATTCTGGGTTAGTGAGAGCTCTCTGAAGTGGTTTCAGTCCACTCTGTCTACATTTCCTAAGTGAAGTGGGAGAACTTTCCTGGAGTGTTTCTTCTCTGGCTTCTATGTCCAGCTGAGTATCACAGTGGTTTCCTGACTCAGTAGCCTTACTTTGGGACCAATCAATGCAGTAGGATAAGGACCTAATCAACCACCTGGACAGATTTCCTTGGCTAATCCCTGGAGCTGTCACCTGAAATGAGCTAGGATTATTTTGAGGGCAGGACCCCTGGAGTGGGCTGAAACTTGACATGTATGTTTTCCTATGACTGCATGTTGTATCTTGAGACTAACAGGGAATGTTCTGAAATTCTTCTGCATTGTGAAAAGTTTTCTGCTAATAATATGATCATTATTTTTCTCAGAAAAAGATAAGTTTGTTTTGAGCTGAAAAGTTTCATTTTCTTTGCATGTCTCTTATACTCCTCACTTAATTTTTGCTTGAAATTGCATTGCAGATTTGCACATCCTACCATCCAGATTTACCCAAGCACCGTCCCCTTACTGGCTGGTTTCCCTGTGTCACCAGTGAAAATAGACCTCAGGATGAAGGGAGTAAACAGCCAGAAGGTAGTTTGGAGAAGGACGGGGTTTGGCTCAAAGTAAGTTTTTTTTGTTTTTTTTTTTGTGAAGCCTTGGGGTAGAAAGGGTTGTGTGTGTGCATGTGTGTGTACATGTGTGCATATGTATGTGTAAAATGGTACATTTGAATGGCTTGTCAGGAAATTTTCTTTTATCTCAAAGTTTTTATATTTTGATTTTTTTTGGCCATTCTTTGAATTTTGGACTTTTTTCTATATTACTTGTTTATCAGTGTATAATACATCCACAGAAAAGTGCAAAGACCAGAAAGATACAGCTCAATAAGTTTTGCAAGGTGAACATGCTCTCTAACCACCACATAGATAGAGAATTAAGGCATGGGGTCAGGAGGAGGAGTGGAGGTTAAGGCACTGGTCTCTGACATGGTTGATCACGGTTTGAGTTCTAGACCTGGTGGTTTCAAAATCACTCTGGGTACGTGTATGTGCATGCCCAAAATCTCGAGGGGATTGTGGTGTGGTCACTTCCCCTGGGGCGGGGGGAGATAATTTCTCACTTTCCCTCTCTCTCTCTGTACACACCCTATGGCAAAAACCTAAAACAAAAATAAAAACAAATTAAGGCATTAACACCGCCCCTAAAAGGCTCTAGAATTCCCCCTTATCAGTTATTACACCCCAGAAGCACCTATTTTTACTTTTATCACCATAGATTAGTTTTACCTATTTTTTTTTTTGAGAGATTTTCACTGTAGGGCGCGTGCGCTCGCCAGACAGACAGAGAGAGACATAGAGACAGAAAGCGAGAAATCACCCCCCAGGGAGGATGGTCACGCCGCAATCCCTTCTCCTCCATTCTCCTCTCGGGATCTTGGGCACGCACGCACACGCGCCCGGCGTGAGTTTTAAGCCACCGGGTCCGGGACACGAACCACGGTCGACTACGTGGGAGTCCAGCGACATAGCCATTATGCTAACTGCTGGTTCCCAGTTTTACCTATTTTTGAACTTTATATGAAAAACATTGTGTCTGATTGTTTCTTGCTTAACATTATGTTTGTGGGATTCATTCATGCTGCTTCACTTAGGTAATGCTCATTTTCATTGCGATGAAGCATAAAGTGCATGAATATGCCACACTATATTTAACCATTCAAATTTTGATGAATGTTTGAGTTATTTTCAGGATTTTTTTTCTGTAACACTATTACAGATTATGTTGCCTACAGGCATTTCTGTACATTTCTCTGGTAAATACGTATAAAAAGATGAAAATGCTAGATCATAGGAAGGTCAGCATTAGTAGAAAATCCCAGACAATGTTTCACAGTGGTTATACCAATTTATACTATCACCAGAAATTTCAGATGCTTTGCATTTTCACTAACATTTGGTATTTTAAATCTTAATTTTAACCATTCTCCCAGGTAGGTAAAGATATCCTCCTGTGATTTCAGTTTGCATTTGTATGATAACTAGTGTTATTGAGAGCCTTTTATATGTACATTGGCCATTTGTAGATACTTTATTTTTAAAGATCACAGTAAAGTCTTTTGTTCAATTTTCTATTGGGCTGTCATCTTTCTCCTTTATTTATCTTTTTTTTTTAATTTCCTTACAATTTTCTGAATATAAACTCATTTTCAGCTATGTATTCTTTAATATCTTTCAACAATGTACAGCGTTTTCTTGCTCTTAATCTATCTTTAAATTAAGGCTCTAAATTTTTCTAAATCTAATTTATCCTTCTTTTCCTTTTGGTTAGTGCTTTTTGTACAGCCTAATTAAAAAAAAAAAACTTTATCTGTCACAAAGATATCCATTCCTATATTATCCTCTAGAAATGTTATTGTTTTTCTTTTCATATTTAATTCTATAATCCATCTGGACTTTTTTGTGTATATATCAAGAAGGGATCAAAATATTTCCCCCATGGATTGTTAATAGATCTAGAACTGTGCTTATTCAAAAAGAGTTTCTTGAGACCAGCAGTTGGCGTAATGGCTATGTTGCTGGACTCACATGTAGTCAACCACGGTTCGAGTCCTGGACCCGGTGGCTTAAACTCAAGCCAGGCACATATGTGTACATGCCCAAGATCACTAGAGGAGGATAGAGGAGAAGGGATTGCGGCTTGGCCATCCCCCCTGGGGAATGATTTTTCGCCTTCTGTCTCTCCATCTCTCTCTGTCTTTCTGGAGCATGCACGTGCCCTATAGCAAAAACCTCTCCAAAAAAAAAAAAAAAAGAGTTTCTTTTTCTCACTGTCTTATACTGTGTCACCTGTTCATAACACAGCTGGTGATGTATTTGTAGAGATATATTTATTTATTGATTCTGTATTTTGTTCTATTAATTTGTATATTTTTCCATCAATAGTACATCTTAAAGTATATTTAAGTCTTAAGATATAATAATACAAATCTTAAGTCTGTTCATTTTCTGGTTATTCTTGGTCCTTTGAATTTCATACCAGTTTTAAACATCACCTTATCAATTTCCACAGGCGAAAAAAGAAGTGAGGCAGATTTGATTCGGTTACTGTTGACTATCAAAAATCAATTTGAAGGGAACCAGCAGTTAGCGTAATGGCTATATCGCTGGACTCCCACGTAGTTGACCACGGTTCACGTCCCGGACCCAGTGGCTTAAAACTCACGCCGGGCATATGTGCGTGCGTGCCCAAGATCCTGAGAGGAGAATGGAGGAGAAGGGATTGCGGTGTGGCCATCCCCCCTGGGGGGGGGGTGATTTCTTGCTTTCTGTCTCTCTGTCTCTCTCTGTCTGTCTGGTGAGCGCATGTGCCCTATAGTGAAAACCTCTCCAAAAAAAAAAAAAAAATCAATTTGAGGAGATTTTTCTCTTTAAAACATTAAGTCTTCTATTATATTCCTTCAGTTATTTAAGTCCTCTCCAATTTCTGTAATTAACATTTTATAGTTTCTTCCCAAAGGGGAGTAGAACTTTATCAAATGCTTTTTGTGCATTTATTGAGATGATCTCTTTATTTTCCCCTATGTTCTGTTAATAACTTACATCAATAAACTTTTAATGTCAAACCAACCTTAGATATCTAAAAAGGATCAAATAAATAACCGTTTGGATTTGACAAACATAATCCTTTAAAAATAGTTTTGGATATTATTTTGAATTATTTGGTTAAATGGTTTTTTGTTTACATTCATTAGAACTTATTAATATTTTGGAGGGAATGTGTTGTCTTTAGTTGTTGGATTCAGCAACTTATGTGCATATTTAAAGGCCCACCAAATATCCTGAATGAATATATGATATATATATATATATATATATATATATATCATATATTCATTCAGGATATTTGGTGGGCCTTTATTGCAGGCTTGTCCTGAGTCTACAGCTTTCCATCATACAAGGAAAGGAAGGGGACAATAAAAGCCTAATAGTTGAACAATAAAACTTAGGCAATGTCAGATTGTGTACCCCACAGTATTCAGTCAATGAGGAACGGGGGAGAGACTTGTGCACTAGGGAATAAGTTGCTTTTTGTAACCATTATGGACATGCCTGTCCATCAGATCCCTGATCTTGCAAGATCACCATTAAAGTCTCACTTCATCGTATCTCATGTCTCTATGGCCATCCCTTGGTATTGGATGGCTGAGCGTGCTTCTTATAGCTAACAGGCATAAAAGTTTGTCAAACAACTGAAAAATGGTAACACTTGAGATAAAATTTGAACCAAAGGTAGAGTTATAGAAAAATAACTGACTCTGGGAATGTTGATGCTGCTGCCATTCAAGAGACGGTCTTCGCAGCCAGTGAAAGTGAAGTTATCAGCATAAATAAGGAAAGTAATTGTGATAGAAAGGATGAAGATATCCCAGAGGAAGTGACGTTAAGAAAATATTCATGTTAAAGAAACTCTCAAAGATGTTTTATAAGTTTGAAAGTGCAAAGGATAAAATGTCGGAAGCTGATCCAAACTTAGCAAAGAGTACAATTTACCAAGGCATAGAAAAACTGCTTGCTTTGTAATGTAAGTCATATGACAAGAATAAAGCAAGCAATGTTGAAACTACTCTTGGTAAGTTTGTTCACAAAGAAATGAAACACTTTAATTTTCCATATTTCTAATGTTTCAAGTTATACTGAACTAAATAAATATTAGTTTTCCTAATTTTTTTCATTTAAAAAAAAGTATAACCAAAAATAAGACAGCATTTAATAGTGGGACAAAAATTTTTAGAGGCCAGGAAACAATTGTAATTTTCCCCTTTGATTATTATGTGTTTTGTATAGTTTCAGTTTGCACAGTTATTCTGTGGTTCCAAACTACCACACAAAGCAAGGACTGCCAGAATATTTCATAATATAGCTTCAAAATGTATAAATTAGAAAAAAAAGAACTTTAGGAGAAACAGACACATTCAAGATTATTGTGGGAGATTTTAATACATATTTCTCAATAACTAATGGCAATAGTATGTAAAATATTAGGAAAAGGTATAAATATATATTATTCTTGTTGGCCATGAGAAGCACTCTCGGCCATCCAATACCAAGGAATGGACATAGAGACATGAGGTACGGTGAAGAGAGACCTTAATGGCGATCTTGCAAGATCTTGGATTGAAAGGCTAGCAAAGAAGTTTATATTCAGGCAGTTACAATGAATATATTATGCCAACTAAAACTGGATGACCTTGCGGGAGACTGGTTTTAGTTAACTGAATTGTTATAACTGATATTCATGTATATGGGAACCACGTACAGTGGAAATTGCCAGTATACGATTTTGGAAATTTTATATTTTTCTGGTGAATTATCTCTTGTAACACTAATAAATGTCTCTTTTTATCTCTGGAAATACTTCTTTTTTTTTTTTTTTTTGCTATAGGGTACGTGCACTCACCAGACAGACAGAGACAGAGAGACAGAAAGCAAGAAATCACCTCCCGGGGGGATGGCCACGCTGTAATCCCTTCTCTTCCATTCTCTTCTTGGGATCTTAAGCATGCACGCACACGTGCCCAGCGTGAGTTTTAAGCCATCGGGTCAGGGACGCGAACCACAGTCGA